AATGCAAAATAGTGGAGTCATGGTGGTGGCTGAATCAATGCATTTCTCGAGTTCAAAGGATAAATATCCGATAAGGGCGTCAATGGGCTACTTTGGTGTAATTGAAGAGATTTGGGTAATAGATTACACGATATTCAGAGTACCTATTTTTAAATGCAAGTGGGTTGATTTTAATACTGACATCTTCACCGATGATCTTGGATTTACCTTGGTTAACCTTGAAAATACTAGTTATACCGAAGAACCATTTATCATGGCATCTCAGTGCAAAACAAGTGTTTTATGTCACTGATCCCGCTAACAAAGGATGGTCGGTGGTTCTACAAGGAAAACCCATGTATACTTCGATGAGAATGATGAATTAGTACTTGATATACCCGAGACACCATGTTTCTCTTCAAATATGTCAAACTTGAGTGTTAATGTAGAAATAGATGATGTGCATGCCATCCGTTATGACCATATGGAAGGATTTTGGGAGAATGCTCCAACTTGATAGGAAATTTAAGCATTCAATCTTCATAGGAAATTTAACTTGTAACAATTTAGATAGAATTGATTTAAGTTAGGAAATTTACATTCGTTTAAGTAAATGAACTGTCTGGAACTGGATCTGTCTGTACATATATTCATTTCAATGTGTTTCATATGTACATATCTCGTCTGTACTCGGATATATATCTCGTAGCAAATTTATATATGAACTGTGCATATCCGTCAGTACTCGGATATGTGGTTATTTGTCTGGAACTGTGATGAATAGGCAGTGTCTACTCGAAGAAAGGTAGCATCTCGTAAATAAAATGCAGGTATTTTAAAAAAAATAACACTTTCTACGTCGGTTATGTCATTACCCGACGTAGAAAGTACTTTCTATGTCGGTTATAATTTTAACCGACATAGAAAGTAAGACTTTCTATGTCGGTTATAAGTGTTAACCGACATAGAAAGTATATGACCGATCGTAACCAGTATGACCGATCGGAATAGCTCATACAAAATAAGACTTTCTACGTCGGTTCCCTGACTAACCGACGTAGAAAGTCTTTCTGTGACCGATCGGAACCAGTTATGATCGATCAAGATAGCTCTATGACCGATCATAACCAGCTTGACCGATCATAATAGCTCAAAGAAAGTAAGGCTTTCTACGTCGGTTCCTATTAACCGACGTAGAAAGTCTTACTTTCTACGTCGGTTATTAGGAAACGACGTAGAAAGCCTTACTTTCTATGACCCCAGTATCTATGTCGCCGCTTTAACCGACGTCGAAAGCCCATTTTAACCGATGTAAAAAACCTTTCTACGCAGTAGTGAATTAAACATGTTTTTTTAAGTAATACTAACAAATAATTTTTTTTAGATAGGCTTGCTGTACACATTTAACAATCTTCTCAAAATTTAAAAGTCACGAGAAAATTTTATATTTAATTAAGTAATAAAAATTTAAATCTATTCATACTTATTTTATAATGTTAGCGTTTTATTTATTAAATACAAAAATAATTAAGAGTCTTACATGTGTGAAATAAAAGAAAAAATGAAAAATTTTAAGAGATGATAATTTTATATAAATAAAATATGAATGATAAAATTTATTTATTTTTAATTTTTTAAAGTAAATTATAATTTATTTATTTTTTCATTAATTATTTAAATATATATATATATATAATAATAATAATAATAATAATAATAATAATAATAATAATAATAAAGAGATATTATTATTAGTTACATTATAAAACAAGTTAACATGATGTTTACTATTAGAAAATTAGTTTTTTTTTTTGCCAATTTTCTTAAAAAAATTGTTTAAATTTATAGAAAATTTATTTCTTACAATTTTTACAAAAAATTTATAAATTTCCATGAAAAAATGAGAATTTTTAGTAGTCTGTCCCACTTTTAATTCACAAAATAAAAATGGATGAACTATTGTATTAGAATGATTATAAATTTTAAAAGATCTTACTTTTGCATCCCGTAATTCTCCTAGTACTTCATAATTAAATTAAATTTCATTTTATTCATCTTTATTTTTGGATACGTTTTTAGATTGGTCTTTCCTAAAATATATTCTAGAATAATGTAGAGTGCATTGTTGGATTAAATTTTCTGAAATTCAACCTTATTTTTGTGATATTATTTTAGATTGAATAATTTAATATGTTTGTGCAATTTGAAAATAGTATATAATATTAACAACTACTTCTCTCTAATTATTAGAAAATACCTGAAAGTAATAACACACAAAAATCAAATTGTTAAAAAATAAAGGTACAGAAGTTATACACATACAAAATAAGTTATAGTAAAAAACAAAAATATAGAAAGAATAATTTAAATATTTAACTTAAGTACGAAGTTAAAAAAAATATATATATAAAAGCAAGAAGCAAGAGTCAATCTTAATCTGTCTCATCAAAATGACAAATTGATTATCAATAATATTGTATAACTTTTGTTTATATGTATTTTTTTAAAAATAAATTTTTAATTATTGAAATAATTTGTACATTTTTATTTAGTAATTAATATTTTTATTAAATAATTCATTTAAAATATTATTATGTGTTAAAATACTTAATTACAATCAATAATTTATTAATATATATATATATATAATTAAATTATAATATTATAATATATTTATATCTCATAATAAAATACAAAATATAATATTAATTATAATTTTTTTATTTTAATTTAATATACTAATAATTTTTAAAATAAACTAACGGATTCGCTCGACTTTGATTCCTTAAATTAATAATTTAGTGAATTAAAATAAATTAATGAAGTAAACCCTAAAATTATAAACATGTCATTGGCCAGCCAAGAGAAATCTAACTTGTTTTTCCATTTATATAATAAAAATATTATGAATTATCAAAATATATTTATCTTTCATATTTTTTTACTTTTAGTTATTTATAAAGTTTAATTAAAAAATAAAATTACATTTATTTTTCTTTGGATTATAATAAACATACTCATATTCTTCTTCCCTCCAATTTTTATCTAATTTTTTTTTATATAAACTATTTGACATTCATGCGTCATAATTTTAATAAAGTGACACTCCTTCCCATATTTTATTTATAAAAAATATTTTTGTAATGTTATTTTTATAAACAATTCTTTAAATTTTATATGTTAAAATTTTAAATTTTAATTTTCATAATTTTATGTATGAATTATAGGAAATATAAAAATCATTTTTGGAGAGGGAAAATTAATTTTCCTATTAATTAATAATTTTTGTTATTAATCTTATTGAAAAATGTGGATATTACACCTAAAATATTATTTACATTGAGTTATTTATAATGAAATAAAACTAACACAAAATATTTCTTATTATATTTAATATATTGAAATTACTATCTTTATATTTAAACGTACTTTTTTTGCAGCACATGAGTAAATACACTATCATTACTAAAACAAAAGTTAAGTACAATCATTCATTGCTCATATCACAACAAAGTTATATAATTCCTTATATGCGACTGTTAAGTTTGTTTGTTGAATTATTTTAAAGAAATAATTACGTATGTTTTATCAAGGATATTGTTTTTAGTCCTTTTATTTTAATTTATTCTTTAATTCATATGTTTTTAAATCCATAATTCAATACTCCAACTTTTAAAAATACTATATTTTAATTTTTTTAATACTTAAATGTAAAATTTAGTTATAATTTTTTATGGTGAAAATCTGATAGAGTAATTAAATTTATAAAATATTTAATTTATTCATTTTTATACTTAAAATCTGTTATTTATAATAATAATTTTTTATTGGTCATGAAACTATTGAAAGGTTAAATTAACGTACTTTTTTAAAAATGTAAGGATTAACTAATAATTTTAGGACAAAACTAATTATAAAAATGCAATAACAAAAAACATGTTTAACATTTTTACCTGTTTCTATACAACATTTTGAAAGAAGTGGTTGTCTAATTTTCCAAACAAATATAAAAATGAAGATAATTCCATAATAGATTTTGATATATAATTTTCTGTATATTAAAATATTTGATATAATTTTCTTCGTCATATTCAATAGTTTATATGAGGTTATTCAACTTAATTTAGTAAAATAAGACTTTTGCCTAAGGCACTAATTATTTTGTTGTCTTTAATGATGATAATTCAAGATCATCTTCTTTTTTACATAAAATAAGAAAAATACTTACAATTCTCTAGTAATTGATCTAATGTTGTTGAACAAATATTAACGGGAGTGTTTCTTTTTATAGTAAAGAATTTTATTCAAAATAACGACATTGGTATGCATGGTCACGTACATCTCTTAAATTGATGGAAAATCTATTAGAATATCAATAGAAAAATGAATTTTCATACTTAAACTGAATTAATTATCAACTTCTCCAAACCTGATGGAACATTATGAGGGAGAAAATACACCTATTAAAACGTAGCCTAACTCTATCACTCGATCTAAGTTAGAAGAAAAAGTTTCCTACTTGAACATTATTATTACATAAGAGGTAACTAAACAAGGCTTAGTTATATATAACAAGGTTTTAGTCTATCTTAAAGGGCTTCTGTGAGTGGTGAACAAAACCAGTTTGATGCTTTGATCTTTGTCCTCTCCTTTTATCTTCATGTGATTGGGTTCGGACAGAGATATAGTAATAAGGTACTCTAGTGCTAGGGTTGAGCACACTATATTTTGTATCAAGAACATAACATTTCACAATATATATATAACATATCCGCATGTAAATATAAGAAGCTGAACAGCAGCATCAAATACATGTATCCCAACCAAAGATCTTTAGGGCACACTTTTTTTTTTTTTTTTCTGGGGCACTACTTTTTAAAACCCTTAAAACAATGAAAGCAACAACTGAAACAATAGTAACCAGAATTCCAATACTTACAACAAACCAAAACAACTACCATTATTTTATTGAAATAGCCAGCATTTTAGGGCTTACATAGATAATTGTGGATCTTCATCCCTCATTCTTCAGCCGAGGGCATCTTATTCAAGTCAAATCCAACAACACTGCCCTCCGCAGCATTCAAATCAAATCGAAAGATCATTCCATTCTCATCAGTCTTTTCTGCAACAGGCTCAGCAGCATTCTCCTTTGCAGGTGGTTCATTCAGATCAAACATCAGCGCTTGAATAGGTGGCAATGACGGCCCTTTCTCCCCATGGTTAACCTCACCAGTACTCTTGTTTTCACCATCACCACCTGTCATTTAAGAACCATAAAGATACACATAAATATCATAAAACGCATGCAAGCAAACATAGTAAGAGTCTCATGAAAGAAACTCGTTTTATTTATTTTTCTTACTCTGCGAGGTGTTACCCTTGTTACCCTTGGTTGAGGATGGGGATCCAAAGGCAGGAGGTTTGAAGAAACCGCGATAATCACGGTCAGGGTGTGCCCGCATGTGGCCAAACGCACCCTTCCATGATGGAAACTCTTTGAAACAAAGAGGACAAGTAGGTTTCCCCATTGGAGGGTCTCTCACTATAGAGGTCTTTCTCTTTTTCGCCAGCACTCCCTCCTTCACAACAGCACCCTCCACCATCTCCATCCTACCACCACTACCACCACCATCACCACCCACTGCCACTGCCACAGCCACCGGAGGAGCCCCACCACTACTCCGGCCACCAACTCCATCATTGTTGTTATTATCATCACTACTACCACCACTAACACCATTCTCTTCTCTTCTGTAATTACCACTTCCACCACCAAGGTCATCCTCACCACCACTGTCATCATCACTGCTTTCACCACAGAGTTCCTCCAAGACTTGCCAAGGGGTTTTCATGATGCTTTCACCCTGCAGATTGTTGCTGGTTGGATTGATAATGGGAGTGAGAGTGTCACCAGAGGGAGAAGATGGAGACTTGTTGGACAATGGTTCCAAGGAAGGGTTCTGCTTCTCCATGTTTGTGTTGAAATGAAAACCTGAGAATGATGAATATGACAAGTTTGAGATAAGTATTTATGTTGGTTCATATGCCATGTTTAGAATGCGAATCACTAGGGTTTGGATTGAAGGGATAATTGAGTAACCTAGCGTCGTTTGTTGAAGCTGTTTATACACCCATTTGCGAAACGATGCAACTTTGCAAAATAAAACTCTTGAGGAACAAAGGTGCTCCCGGGAATGTATGTGTATCTCTTGGCCTGAAAAAGCATTAAATGAAACATCAATGGAAGTATATTGTTGCAAAGTGCCATTTTAATAAATCTCCACAAATTTTCTATATTATTCAAATCAGCACGTTGGCACACAGAAAACCAAAACATATTCATGCGTAAACTTTTCGCAAATTTAAGATAATTTTTTTGGGGGAATTTAAGCAAAGAGATACCCAAAAAAATACCGATTTTTAAATTAATTAATAAACTGCTGAAAAAATGGTGATTAATAATAATATATCAACTTGTGCATATACTTATAATTTAGAATACATGTACATATTAATAAACAGTAAATCTATTGCTAATCAGATACAGTGAACAAATATTAGAATAGTTATTAATAAAAATGTTAGAGTTCAACAGTATACTAAGCAACATTATATTTGAAGTGATATTTTGACAACTAGAAACCATACAACCCTTCAAACAATCCATTTTTATTAATATAATAATCTATAAATGATTTAATAAAAATAAAAATAAATTAAAACTATTATTATAATATTAAAAGAGAGTTGTTTATAGGAGTTGTATGGATTTAAGTTGTCAAAGTATCATGTTTGAAAGTGATATCTATAGAAAATAAAGAAAACAAGAAAATTGGTCTATTATGTGTATGACAACAAGACGCAGAATGGGAGTTGATATCAACACAAAATTCTGTAAATATTACTTGAATTCAACTGATTTGGACTTAGACAGTGTTCCCCTTCTCTTTTCTTGTAACTTTTCACTTATTATCATATAAAAGTAAATTACGATTGGCTTAAGATTAAACAATTTCACTTGAATTTTTTTTTTAAGTAATTAAAAGAATATAGGTACTCTGCACCAAGACCCATATTAAATCAAGAGCTTAATAAAAATATATGTGTTAATTTAGTATAGATTTTTAATTGTATCAAATCTAATTCGATCAAATTAATCAAACTCGACTGTGAATATTTAGATATTGAATTTTGTGATTTATAAACCTAATAAATACAAACTAATAATAACCGATTAATCTAAATTGAACGAATTTGTTTTTAGATTGGTTTGTATTATTCAAAATTTTGTAAAAAAATCCGAAATAATCCAAATAAAGAAAAATTCAATTTTCCCCAAAATTGAATCTGAAACCAATCAACACCTCCTAATAAAAATCAAGGGATTCGGGTCCGAAAATGACAACGTTCCTCTCACAATCTTGTACTTTCACTAGATATGTAATCATAATGAATTGAAAATTATCTAAAACTATAAAAGGTGTTTTTGTGTTTTCCTCATTATTTATACATAAATAAATTTTCAATCTTCATCCGATTACGATTACATGCAAGAGAGTTTAAGGAATTAAACTACTTTTTCATTATTTAAGTATTAAAAATTAACACAAAATAAGATATTAACACAATTCTATTTAACTATTTATTTTATCGGTTTCATATGTGCGTGTACATGATTATAAAAACAATAAGCAACGGTGAACAACCCACATAATTATTGAAGAAAAAGGGAAATGGAAGATACAACCACACAAGTAGAATTTAATTCTCAAGTATCAGAATTTGAATACTTTCAGGAATTAAATATCGAAAGTGGTGACATTTTGACACTTTTGATATGAAAAAATGTTTTTGAAAATACTGTGTTTCAAAAAATAGTTTTCAGAAACCAGTCTAGTATAATTCGGAATTTGTATATAAAATTTGAACAACATTTCATAATTCATAAACTAGTTTCTAGTGAATCTGTGAAACTGAAGAGGAAATTAGAAGATGGAAACTAACCGACCAATAGGGGTATGAGGTGGGGCTTCAGAAACTAGGGCAAGAGAGAGGGAAGGGGAAAGCTAGCTGCTAAAGGTGGTGAGTGGAGGAGAGGGTGGAAGAAGAGAGAAAGAGAAGGTGGGGGATGCAAAGTGATGAGTTAGAGGTACCTTTTAAATAACACTTAGAAAAAATAGGGTGTGTGAGAGAAAAATGGTGCAAATAAAATTGTCCTTAGATGAAATCTAAAATATCTTTTTAATTGTTTTCAACTTAAACTATTTGGTTTATTTAAATAATTATAATCAATATTTTTTATGAATTATATTTAAATTCATTCAATGTGTTAAATTAAAACCCATTTTTATTGTCTTACTTAATTAAGTGTATTATATGTGTTGATTGAAATCAAGACTCAGACCAACAAATATATTAAAATCATATATTATATTTATTTTATTCTTTAAGCATTAACATTGTTAATTTATATAAAGAGTCAAATTTTTAAATTTACTTAAGAGTAATGCTCTCATTATAAAATAGATTTAAAAATAATTTATATATTTTTAAAATTATATTAGATAAAAATGTTAATATTGAATTTTGTAAAACCCATTTTTCCTTTTTTTAGATGTCTTATGTTTTTTAATGGTAACGATTTTTTTTATACATTATAGTTTGCATTAAAAAAAAAAATCCATTTGCCTATGAGCCAGTTAGAGGAAGTAACCTATATTGAAGTTTCAATATAAAATATTTAAACCTTAAAATAGTCTAACAGAAGAAGGTAAGAGTTTCAATTAAGTTAAGTCAAACCTTAAGGTAATGCCAAACTTAAAACTTTTTTTTTTTTAAATGAATTAGGTCTATGTAAATAACGTTTTATTCGACGTATTTTAGAAAATGATTTCTATAAATTTCTAAAAATTCATTGAAAATAAAATAAAATAAATTTAACATTAGTTAATTTGTCAAATTTTTCTGAAATTTTATTTCTAATTTGTTCATAAACCTATTTTAGCTTATAAAGGAAATTATTTTATTTTATTTTATTTCTTTCAAAATGCTTTTGAAAATTTGTCTAAATATATATGTGGAATATTCCCTCGATTGATTCTTTTACTTGTCTTATAAAAATTGAAAATGTAATAAATATATGAGACAAAATAATTTATTTATTTTTTAGTGTACCTCAGTTATTTAATATTTAAATAATTAAAACAAATGAATTAATTAAATATACATTTAATAATTAAATTAATGTTCAACTTTAAAATATTACCGTTAATACCATTTTCAATGGCCATTAATTATTTTTCTTTATTTATTTAAGGTATTATTCTAAATATTAACTAAAAATACTTTTTCCCTCTTGCAAATTCATCCTTATCAAGTTAACTTGTAAGAAAGTAGAGAAAATGAGGTGGACACGACAATCTAGACCCAGTAATGTTCATCCTAATTCATACACAGTTTCATGACCAATAAATATATGATTTCGAATAATCTTAGGAACAATTTATTACTTTTTTCTTTTCATAACTCCAATTTAAGATTTTTCACATGTATTAATAACAATAATAAATTATTTATTTATTGCAACAATTTTATAAAAATAATATCATTAGCTCATTTAGTTTAAATTTCAATTTTTTAGGTGGATTTGATTTATTTATTTTTATTTAACATCACAACTCAACATTGAGGTAAGGTTAAGTATATAAAGTTATTGCTTATGATAAAAACGCGTGAGCAACAATTTTATTTATTTTTTTCTTTTGAAAATATAATATTAATATATTTTATTTGGAAAAATTAGGAAATACAAATTATAGTATTTGTTTTTTTAAAAGAATGACAACATCAGTCAATTTAATTTTTCAAAGTTAAAACTGCAAATATTTTGAAACACGCGATATATTTTATTATAACCGAAATACGTTGTGATCAAAGACATTAATGACATCAAATTATTTTTATTTTTTAGTTTTTAAAAGTTAAAATAATTAAAATATATTTTTTATTTTAGTTTTTTATTATATTAATAGATATCAATATTTATATTAATAATTATATTAAATTATTTATATGCACTATATAAAGTTATAAATATTATTTTTTTAATTTTTGACATGATATTTTGAGTCATTTATATTATTTTTTCTTTTAAAATATTTTTTTAATTATCAAATAATTTTTTTCAATTTATTTTCAAAATCATTTTTTTAAAATTGATTTTAAAATTCTTTTTAAAAACTAAAAAAATCAAATCAAATCAAATCAAACAACCCTTAATCCTCTTAAGTTCTTTATAAAAAACTTCATTAATTAATAATTAAATATTTCTCATGAAATAGATTAAGTATTCGATTTTTTATGTAATGAGAAAGTCTTTCCACTCTTAAAATAAATAAATGAATAAAAAAATTGTTTCTGTTTTTTAAAATATCCGGTCTTTAGTTTTTAGAAACTAAAAACTTGTTTTTTTATTAAAAAAAATTATTTTTAAATTTTTAAAAACTTAAATAAAATAAAACTCGTAAAATTTATCTTTTTATTTTAGGTTTATGTTTTCATTAATAACTAGGATGTTTTTTTTGAATAATTATATTAATTTTTTTTTACTTTAATCTTAGAAATAATTAAAGTTATTTTTCAACTTTTTCTCACTATTGTTTTTAAATGAATTATATTTTGTCGTCTAAAATAACCTTTAAAAATAAATTTATTAAATAAATATTGTTTACAATTTATTTTCGAAAATAATTTTTTAAATTTGATTTCCAAAATTATTTTTAATAATTATAAAACAAAACTAAATAAAACAAACCCAAAATCATTTAATATTACTTTATTATCCCATCTTATTTTAACGGATGATGTGACTTTTAAAGATTAACTCCAACTGTGGAACTCATTTCATTCACCACCACCATAATCAACACTAATGGCGGAGTCAAACTCGGTCATGACTTTCTCTCAAAATTTT